TCAGATTCAGTCCCTCTGATTTGGAAAAGGAAGTTTTCTGCAGAATGAACCGGCTTAGTGCCCTGCTGGAAACCTTTCTCTCCATCACTCTGCTGTGTTGGTGATGCGCCCTCCACACCTGGGTGGATAATATTCCCCAGGTTAACTTCTTCAGGGTGTGCATACAAGCAATCCTTTCCGTTTTAAGAGGACAGACCTTCAGAAAGTGTCTGATGGGGCGGGGTGGGGGACCCCATTATCTTTTCATTCAATTTCTCCACAGACTTCTTCAAGCCCTCTCCTATGTCTGCTCTTCTGGGGCCACCCTCCCCACCCTTTGAGTAAGGCTCAATGACATAGGGAGCCACAGTTACGTGGGAGAGCGTGCCTGCCCCTCAGGTGGACTGGAGCGGAAAAGAGGTGGAGAAGCTGAAGGGAAGTCAGTGACCCTTCCCAGGATTGATTGCAGGCTCTGTTAAGTCTGGGTATTTAGAGCAACTGGGCAGCAAAAGCCCTTATAGAATCGTTCCCTTCCACTCTAGTGGCTTTTCCACCTTCCTGAACAGACGGGAGAGGCCCCTTCACCCAGGGATGCCTCAGGGGGAAGAGGGGTGGAGAGAGGCATGCCTGTAGCCAAGGCCTCTGACAGCAGGTAGCTGTTAGGGGTCCTGAGCGAAGGAGGCTCATTGCTGGCCACTATCTCCAAGGGAAACATCACCAAGGTCCCGTTCACTGGAGGAAGCTTTACCATGCACAGTGTGAAGGTGGGAGGGGGGGGGTTCCTATAGAACAGGAGTCCTATGGCAGAGCTGACATTCTGTGCAGGCCCCAGAGGGCCTATTCCCTCTCATCTATTACCAGTCCATTGGAGCCAGAGGGTGGGCATAAAGATTGATGGAGCAAAGAATGGGTGGAACGAGGAGGATGAAGACGGATTTGAAAGATCGCACAGTTGACAGCCTCCATCATTTGGAAGGTCCCCAGATACTGGTCCTCTGACTCAGACCAGGCATGGGGTGTGGAGGTCCTGAGGGAAGGGGTGTGTGGCTCCCGCAGGGACTTTATCCCTCTGGCTCTCAGCAGGCCAGCATGGTCCTTGGGCTGGTCCTTAGCTGGCCCGTCAGTGTCCTTCTCGGGCATTCTTGTGGGTGGCCTGTCATCTGCTTTTAGGCTTAGAGGGGTACAGAGAAGTGCTGGACATAGAGGGATGGAACTTCCAGGGAGGAGGAGGCAGACTTTTGGTAAACCAATCCAGTCGTGGAAAACAAGGGAGATGGGCCATGGTGGCAGGTAGGGGTTTAGAAAGGCAAGTTCTCAGCATTCAGCAGATGCCTCATCATCTCTGCCTGATTGTGCTGGAGCTGTGTTTTCTATGAGGGGGACTGTGCACGCTCCTCAGAGCCTAATCGTGCCAGCTTCTCATGTCTCGCCTTTCGTTTGACGTAACTCTGTTCTCTACTTATTTTATTTTTTTAATTAGTAGGCTTTGCTCTTTTTAACTTTCTGTCTAACACACACACACACACACACACACACACACAGAGTTCTGCCTATTATCAACAGCTTGCATTAATGTGGTAAATCTATGATAGTTGAAGGGCCCGATAGACAGATGTTATTATTCACTAAACTCATCATTCACATTCAGGGTCTATTCTTCGTACTGTTAGTTCTATGTGCTTGCATACACACATATGTCATATATCCCTGAGTGTACTAAAGAACCCTCCTCCCAGGGTCTCGGTCTCCTGAATTGTTTGCATAATGACATCAAAGCCAGGCCTATTTCCTAGGTCCGTCTCCCGAGTGGCTCAGTGGGTAAGTGCTGAGCTCCTAACCGATTGGGAGGTGTTGAACCCTACTCAGAGTGGGAAAGGCCTGGGGACCTGCCACGCTGAGATGGCACCGCAGGAAACCCTGTGGGGCAGTTCTGTCCTGTTTCATAAGGAGGTCGCTATGAGCCAGATCAGACTCAGTAGCACGCAGTGAGCTCCAGGTGATCGTGAGGCTCAATGGGTTTAATACGAGCATGTTTCAGACTTGGGAGGCACCCACGAAGACGATGCTCTCAGAACAGCGCTTACGTCTCACCTCATCGCTGCTTCAGTGCTGACAGTTAACGAATGCATTTGTTTCATGAGCATTTGCTTGGAGCGTTGTGCTTTATGTTTATAAGTCCTTGATTTCTTGCTGTTTCTTACATGATTTGCTTTCAGGGTTGGGTGTGCGTTAGAAGGAAAAGAGCCGGTTCTTACAAGTTTGTAGTTCTTCAAGAATAAAGCCATTTCTCTGGACTCAGCCCCTAGATCTAATGAAGACATCAGATGTGTGGTTCAAAAACGTTTCCCTCCCAAAACCCCCTCCAAGACCTCCAGGCCCAGATGGCTTTACTGGTGAGTTCAGTTCGACACAGCTCTTCCAGACAATTAAAATCACGGACGATGTCCCTCACCCATTCGATGAAACCAACATGACCCTGATATCAAAGCATAAGGCGTGACACGAACAGAAAATGACAGACAAACCTCTCTCGTGAACAGAGGTGGAAAAATTCTGCGCAAAAAACGATCAAATGGAACCCAATGAGACATTGGAAGGGATGATCTACGATCACCAAGGCTACCCCAATCGAAAGCACTGCAAGTTTGCTTTCATAAGGCTGCCATGTTAACCAGCTGCGAGAGAAAGCCTGTCTGATCATTCCGGAGATGCAGGACATCCTTGCAGGACATCCTTCTGCTGCAGATTCTCAGCAGACGAGGAACAGCAAGGCATTCTGAACCTGACAAAGGACATCTGTGAAGAACGCAGAGTTCAGACCATCGTAGGGGGTGAATGGATAAGTGAATGCTTAGGAGAACCGAGACCAGAACCGACTCGGGGGTCAGCTGTCATCGCTTTAGTGAGCAGCAGCAGGACGGGAGGAAGCTTCTTCACAACCTGTGAGAGGCAGATGACACCACCCTGCCCACTGAGAGCAAGGGGGACGGGAAGCACTTGCTGGTGAGGATTAAGGACGGCAGGTTTTAGGATGGGTTACAACTCAATGTAAAAACCCGAACCCCAAGCTTAGTGCCGTGGGATGGAAGAAACTGAGAGCTGACTCACAGCAACCCTATCAGATGGTCTCGATGGTGACTCTTTCCAGGAGCAGAAAGCCTCCTCTTCCTCTCTCAGAGCGGCTGGTGGTTTTGAACTGCTAGCCTTGTGGTTTGCAGCCCAACTCATAACCCACACCACCACCAAGGATCCTGAACTCAATGGAAAGAAAACAGAAATCATCATAACCGAGCCCAAAGAGAACATCGTGATAAAGGTGGGGAAAGACGGAAGTTGTCCGGGAGTTCATTTTGCTGGATCCACAATCCATGCTGATGGAAGCAGCAGTCAAGAAACAAAGCAATGCATCGCGTTGGCTAAACCTGCTGCACAGACCTCTTTAAAGGGTTGAAGAGCAAGGAGGTCCCTTGGAGGTCTCAGGTACGCCTGACCGCAGCCAGGATGGTTTTCCATCCCCTCCGATGCCTGTGGGATAATACATAAGGAAGACAGTTGAAGAATTGAATCATGGTGTTGGTGTAGACTGACAGAAGTCTTGGAAGAAGAAATACCACCAGAATGCTCCTTAGAGGTGAGGAGGGGGGACTTCACCTCACAGACTTTGGACATGTCATCAGGAGAGACCTGTCCTTGGGAAAGGACCTCATCCTTGGTGAGGGACAAGGTCAATGAGACGGAGGAAGACCATCAAGGGAGTGGACGGACATGGTGGCTGCCACAAGGGGCTTGGACAGAACCACCAGTGTGCAGATGGTGCGGGACCGGGCAGGGTTCCCTCTGTTCTGCATGATGTCGCCATGAGCTGGGACCAACTCATTGGCACCTAACAACACCGCGTCCAACGCGGTGTGAAGGGTCTCACCAGGACCCCGAGACAAGAAAACGAACCGGAAGGCATTCACCCTGCAAAGGAACAAATAAAGCTACCTGTGTTCACAAATCACATGATCACCTATGCGCCGATTGGCAACCATCTTTTCAATAAAGGGCAACATGGTAAATATTTTCAACCTTTCGTGCCATATGATCTCTGCCACAACTAGTCAATTCTGTCATGGTAGCATGACAGCGGCCTTAGACAATACCTAGATGAATGGGGGTGGCTGTGCGCCAATAAAGTTTTATTGAAAAAGCCAGCCAAGGCCAGATTTGGCCAGGGCTGAAATTTGCTGATCCCTGGTCACTGTAGGAAACTCCATGGAATCTACCACACACACAACGAAAATGCTACTAAACTAACAAATGAGTTTAGTACCATTTCAGGATAGAAGATCAATACATAAAAAATCAATTGTAGTTTTATATATGAGCAACAAACATTTGGAAATCGAAATAAACTTTGAAACCAATCCCATCAACAATGGCATCAACCCCCTGAAATACTTTGGAATAAACCTAACAAAATGTATGACTTCTCCACTGAGCACTACAAGCTAGTTCTGAGAAGTTTTTCAAGATCTAAATGGATGGCTGGACGACTTCGTAAGGTGAAGGTATTCGTTTTCTCCCCAAACATCTATGCAATACCAAGGTCATGCTGGTTTTGTTATAGAAATTGAAAAATTGCACAAATTCATATGGAAATGTGTTCCTGAAGTGAATGCATTTCCTCTTTGAAGTTAGGGTTCCAGGGACACAGTCCTGTGTTGCCTAGTCCCCTCTTCTCCTGGGGGGCGCGCTGCAGGCTGCAGGGTTTGCATGCACTTGGATGGGGAGACAGCCATGCTGGTGGGAGGGGCAGAAGCCTGCCTCTGATTGGTTCAGATGATAGTGTCTGTGCTGCTGAAGGGAGGCCGAGGGCAGACCCTGCTTCCCAAGGTTAGGCCAAGGTCAAGTATGTTCCTATTTTCCTGGGTTCAGATGTTATATTTCAATTCAGAATGTAAGTCCAGTTATTTAATGTCGTTAGGGGGAAAAATAACTTTACAAAATACAGTTAGCCATTAAGTACTTTAGTAAATGCAGTCTTTGTGGAATGAGCAGACAGGTTGGAGGTAGGTGTCATTTAAAAGGGCCAGATAATGATGAGAGTCTTCTCTTGTTTACCTGACTGTGAGTGATTAAAAGCTAGCCCCTGCTGGCTAGTCAGGCAACAAAGACATCCTGAGACTGGCCTACCATTTAAAGAACCTCATGGCTCTGTTTGCTTGCTCGTGGTCAACGGTTGTTTCCCGTGGTTACCCTGAAACCTGAGTTCATGTCAAACATCCGTATGTGACTCCCCAGAGTGTACACTCCAAAGGCAAAAGATATATATCGTTTGTGTATTCAGATTTCACACAGGACACTACAAAGACAGTCTGTTTTGCACTGCTATGGTCTCCTCGCCGGTGACCTTCAACTGTTCATGTCATATGGTCTTAGTAGGATGAAAGCTGCCATGGACAATGAATAGATAGTGGCATGGTTGTGTCCCATGGGCAATTCCTGAATGAATGGGGGTTGCTGTGCTCCGATAAAGTTTTATTGAGAAAGCCAGGTGAGAGGCCAGGTTTCGGATGTAGTTTTTCTGAACCTTAGTCGAGGTAGAAAATTCCACAGAAGCTATCACACACACACACACACACACACACACACACACACACACAATACTACTTGAACTCTCTTCTGACTTGGAGTAAATTGGCTTAGAAGCTCCAGAATAAAACACCTGCATTTCAGATAGCAAAATGATGGAGCCGTGTGAACTATTAAAGAAGGTATTTCTCAATTCATCCCCACCACGCACACAGTTAGTGTAAATCATCCCCCGTGTTTAGTCCAGAGAGCGCTTTTCTCTGCTCCTACCTGCCTACTCACAATAGCAGCCATCACCGCCAGGGAGCTTGTTGGGAACGCATCCTCTTGGGCCCCACCCCCAAACCCACTGCATCAAAGTTTGCCTTTTCACAAGCTCCTCAGGTGATTCATATGCAAATGAAAGCAGGAGCCATGAGAGGGCATATACAGGTGCACATGAATGGGCAGGTGGGAAGATGCAAGATGGCAGGTCTAGTCACCTGCCCAGGTCTCTGCATCAGCACCGGATGTCCGTACGGTGGCATTTCAAGAAATCCGTGTACAGCTAGGAAGGAGAAGGCAAGTAAGAAAGGAATATTCCCCACCCTGATCCAATAGAAACCCTAATTCAGTTTTATGAGCATTTGGAAACACTTTGCATATAGTTCATACACCTCTCCCTTCATCCCTTCTCCTACACACACACACACACACACACACACACACACACACACGCCCAATCTCAACCAGAAACCATTCTGACTGATGAACTGTTTTGTCCTTCCAGGAAGGTAAAATGGAGTCATGAATGTGGTTCTTCAAAATGTTTAATGATTTTTCATTATCAGAGCCCATGTCCACACTATTATTTGAGTCAATTCTGACTCACTGTGACCCCATAGGACAGAGTAGAACTGGGCCTGTGGGTTTCCATACCTTTACTCCTGCCCCCAATGATCATTTTTTAAAAACAGTTTCATTGACGTATAATTCATGTATAACTACATGAATATAATTCAGTGATTTAAATATATTTAAAAGAGTTGTACAATCATCACCACAATCCGTTTTAGAACATTTTCTTCATTCTTGTACCTGTCACTAGCTCCCCATTCCCCTCGAAACGCCCCTGCCATCACCCTTACACACGCATGCACTTAATGCCATCAAGTTGATTCCTATAGCGACCCTCTAGGACAGGGTAGAACTGCCCCTGTGGGTTTCTGAGACTGCAACTCTCTAGGGGAGTAGAAAGCCTCGTCTTTCTCCCATCGGGCACCCGATGGTTTCACACTGCTGACCTTGCAGTTAGCAGCCCACAATGTAACCGCTACACCACCCGGGCTCTGCCACACGCATGAGGAACTATTAGTCAACTGTCACACGATCCTGGCTTTCATATAAAGAAAATCGTACAAAAATCCCAACAATGACAACAAAATAATACAGGAAAACCTCAGTCCAAGAGAAAGCAGGAGAGATTAGAAGCTTAATGATTACAGGAACAGATGGCCACATCTGTCTCCCTTGCAGCGGCTGGTAGGTTTGAACCACCGGCTCAATGAGTCACCACCCACTTTGCCACCAGGGCTCCTCATTATCAGAGCTGTGTGCATTGTAGATTTGCTTAAATACAAGAGAAAGGACAAATAATGACTTATAATCCTATCGTCCAAAGACGAGAGGAGGGCTGGTTTGTTGGTTTGCGTTTTTCAATCTTTTATCCTAATACAATTTTAGTAGTGATTAATGGGATCTGCATGAAGATAGATGGCATCGTTTTTTACAAGGTAAACGCGGATGTAAATGGATCTATTCCCTAGCAAAAACAGACATTTAATACGCAAGTTGGGGGGGGGGTGTTGTTGTTAACATTAGTATTTTTCCAGATGATTATCCGTTCCCTGTAAGCGTCATTGTGCATGCTTGCAATATCCCATGGACTGTGCAAACCCTACTTTACTGAGCTCGTCTTCTGTCACGGGACGCTTGGAGCGTCTGCCTGGCTCCTCTGGGTAAGGCACTAACATGTGATCAAGATCATTGGCCACGCAGCAGGTTTTCTGTATGCCGGCTTTTCTGTCACTTCCTCCGGGACTGAGTTCCAGAAGTCAGAGGCTGTGAACCGCGATCCACACAACCAAACCATTTCGAAATCACCCTAGAAAGCCGAGCCCACGGTTCCCAATGGGGCGCTGACATGGTGGTCCTTACAGGTGAAGAAAAAGCCCCCCATCGACAAGACGGAATGGGACGGCTTCTTTGACGAGAACGGGCACTTGGCCAAGTCACGGGACTTCATCTGTGTTAACATCCTGGAAAGAGTAAGGTCCCCGAGTTGCCCGTGGCCTGCCCTGCACCTGGGGGAGAGGGTGGGCCAAGGGGCAGGTGGGGCATTGGGAGGGGTCTCAAAGGACCCCCACCTTGGCACACCAGGGCCTGCACCCTTCTGTGAGGACGGAAGCATGGAAATTCCTCACGGGCTACTACTCGTGGCAGAGCTCCCTGGATGAGCGCCTCACGGTGGACAGCACCAGGAGGTAGAACATTCCAGATCCTCTGGCACAGGAGGATGGGTGCTGATGAAGTAGGCGGGGTGGGGGGGTGGGTCTGGTGGGTCGGTCTTCTTGTTCTGGAAGAACTTGTGTTCATTCTTTCCACCTCCAACGGCCTCCCTCATCCGTCTAGCCAAACCCCACCCAGTCAGACAGTGCCCCTCCTCCAGGCCACCCTCCAGGTGGGCATGACTGCATTCCAGATAGCCATGAGAGAGTGGCTTCGGTGACATGGGCCGAGACGTGGGAGAGTGACACCGAGGGGGGCACAGCCTAGGCAAGGGACCTGCCCTGTGTCCCCCTGGGACCTGGACGCTGCCTCTACCCGGGGCCCTGCCCCGAGAGTCCAAAAGGGGAAGGCACCTTGCTCAGCTTTAGTCCTGTTCTCCAGGAAGAACTTCCAGGTCTTGTGTGGCATGTACGAGAAGATCCAGCCCCTGCTGGAGAACCTGCACCGGAACTTCATAGAGACTCGGAATAACATTGGTGAGAGGGCTTTCCAGGGAAAGGCGGTTCCCAAGTTCCTAGGAACTGCCTTGATATGTGTGCCACCACATATGCCAGCTAGATTGTGCTCCATTGCCCACCCATCTCCGCTGGGGGTCCCCACATGCCCCACACTGTTTCCTAGGGTGCCTGCTGGTCCCGCTGGGTCACTGTCCTCTTTGCCCTTTGTTTTTGAACTAGGTTGGATTTTATGGGACGGAGAGGTAGGGGTGGATGTTTTGGGCAGAGAGCAGGGCCTGGCCAAAGATCTAGAGGCAGGCAGAGCCCAGAGAGCGGTGACCGGTAGAGCCTAGGAGAGGCTGATCCCTCTTCTGTAGCACTCCTGAGGGTGGGTGTTCTGGGGCCTCTCCTCATGGGGTGCGGGAAAGAGACTCATTGCTGGGCTCTCTGCCAGAGGTGACCTAGTGCCTCCTACCGGTCCCTTGCCCCCGATCTAGTGTGTGACATCCAGAAACTATATGACAAAGACGCCCTGGGCAACGTCCTCATCGACAAGAAGAAGCTGGAGAAAATTCTCCTCCTGAGTTACGTCTGCAACATCCAGGCAGGTGAGCTGGAGGTGGGACTTCCCCTCGGCCCCCACCTTGGCCAGACCTGGCTTCCCCAAGCCCAGCCTGGCTCCACTCTGCCACCGACCCCCCACTCAGCAGCCCCCTCTGCACCCCAGAGTACCAGCCAGGCTTCCACGAGATGGTGATGCTCTTCCAGCTGATGGTGGAGCAGGACCACGAGATCTTCTGGCTGTTCCAGTTCTTCCTGCAGAAAACGGTGAGGCCGGAGCCCGGGCTCAGGGACCCCTGATTCTCCAAAAAGCCCCTTTGAGGGGCAGCAGACACCAGCAGCCCCAGCCATTCCCCAACCCTCACCCCCCACCACACACACCCCGGCAGCTTTCTGCATCACAGAGGATCCCGTGGGGGCTGTCCTGAGGGGCATGGGGCCGGTGTGGGCAGTACACAGATGCTTAGGTCCGGCTCTCATCCAACCTTGAAGGGCCTGGCTGACCAGCCCCTTTCCTGACATTCGCTGCCCCAAGCCCAGCTCTCCTCCTGCAGATCCCTGGAGTCCCATGGCCTCCAGAATTGAACCCACTTACATTAGCCAGACATTCAAGGCCCCACCTTCAGCCTGACCTTGCCCTTCTCCTCCCTCCCTCATCATGCACTCCCCCTGCCCAGCGTGTGGGGTTTTGGAGGAGAACCCTCCCTAGGAAGCCTTTCCTCCTGATCCCTAAGAGGCTGCCCAGAATCCTCCCTCATCCCTCTGTCCACCCCGGTGGCCAGTGTGCATTGCTAGTTCCTTGCCCCGATGTGCTCTTGACCCATGATGTGCTTGTGTGTGCCAGGGTGGGGGGAGGAGGGGCTAGCTGAGGTCACTGTGTTGTGAACCACACTTGAGATGCATCATACACACACACACACACACACACACACACGCAAATGGACACACGTGTACCTATAGATCACAGACTGTGCATCCAGGCACATACAGACAGAGACATGTATGCAGACCACACAGACGCAGACATGTATGCAGACCACACAGACACATGCATGCACACACAGATGCCCAGGCTCAAGAAGAGTCAGGGGCCCACATGGAGCCAGACACCCCAACCCTCTGCCCACCATCACGGAGTCAGAGCGGAGGAGAACTGCTCCCCGGGTGTCCATCTTGACAGGAGCAGCCTGCCCCATCCTTCTCCCGAAGGGAGTGGCTGGTGGGTTTGAAACACCGACCTCGCAGCCCACTGTGGGCCTCCGGCTGGAGGGCTGACTGAGGTACTTGGATGGCCTTCTGGCACCTTCAAGTTGATGCTGCCTCGGTTTCCCACCCTTCCTCCCTCCCTCCGTGCAGGAACACAGCTGTGTCATCAACATCGGTGTGGCCAAGAACCTGGACATGCTCAACAACATCATCACCATCATGGACCCCTTGTTTGCGGAGCACCTGAGTGAGTGGACCCTACCTCCTGCCCTTGCCGGTTTCTGCACTCATGAGAGGGGGTCCTGGGCCCAACCAATGGCAGGAAGGGATGGGCAACGATGGGGGGAGGGGGCAAGTGAACATCTATCCCAAGCAATCTCCAGGGGCAGCGGGCCAGACCCGGCTGTGGGCGCTGTGCTTGTCGGGTGTCTCCCGGGTGCTGCGGGTGGGCCTCCGCCGCGCATGTGCACTGCGGTGTGTGTGTGCTGCACCATGCTTGCGCCGGCTGAGGCCCCGCTGGTCTCCCCACAGAAGGGAAGGGCGCGGGGACCGTGCAGGCCCTCTTCCCCTGGTTCTGCTTCTGCTTCCAGCGCGCCTTCAAGTCCTTCGATGACGTCTGGAGGCTCTGGGAGGTGAGGAGCGTCCACCTGGGGACAGTGGCGCAGACGCCAAACCCGCCGCCCTCCCCATCCCCCACCACCACTTTATTTATGGCTTTAGTTGGGTTTAGTAGCTTGGGGTTTGACAGTGCCATGAAGCCCAGCTCTTCTGCAAGGCAGACTGGGCAGAAGGGCTCACCTGGCCTGGGCAGTAGAAGCTTGGACGTGAACTTCAGCTGTCCTGCCCAAGGGTGCCCTCTGCTCTCCTTGCTCAGATGCCACCTGGGTGCTGGCTCCTCACAGCCCTCTCACCTGGAAAAGGCGGGGCCTCCAAGCACAGGCCTCCCCTACAGTCTAGATCACAGTGTCCAGGGTCAGGGTAGCGGAACTCCCCAGGGGCACCCTCTCGTTCCTGCCCTACCACCATCCACCATCCGCAGGACCCTGCCCAACTCTTCAGCCTGGCATGCAGTGCCCTGAGCCAGCCTGGCCACCCCATCCCTCTCTCTTCCCCTGCTATCTCCACGGCCAAGTGCTCGACCACCCCCCCGGCCTTTGGGGATGACGCTGGATTGAGTTCCCACGTGCTGCCTCAAGACGCTTTTCAAATGTTACAGACCTTTATCCTATCTTGCTCTTACTCTCATTCTTTCTCCACCTCTTTCCCTCTCTATGGCCCCCTCTTCCACCTCCAAGGAGTCCCTGAAGCCTGTATCTCTGAACCCCCCCCAACCATCCCCACCCTCACCCCCACCCCTCTGCCCCTAGTTAACACACAGCCTAGAAACCAAGAACATTTACCTGAATGAGTGAGTGAGTGAGTTTCACCATGAGATAGGCTGCCCTGGGAGTTCTTGAGTTCCCTGCAGCCTCAGGCCACAGGGCCAGGCTGATGGGTGCTGCCCACAGGTGCTGCTGACGGGGAAGCCCTGCAGGAACTTCCAGGTGCTGGTGGCCTACAGCATGCTGCAGATGGTGCGTGAGCAGGTGCTGCAGGAGAACATGACCGGGGATGACACCCTCCTGGTGAGCACCCTCCGTCCAAGGCTGGCCCATCGGCTCCTGGAGGTCCACAGCCCCACCCACCACCCCAGCACTGGCTGGTGACCAGGGCTCAGGACCGCTGGGCTTCCAAGCTAGTGATGAGAGCTCATGTTTACTGAGCACCTACCCTGAGCTGAGACCCTTTAATAGTCCATGCTAAGCCAGGGAGAGAGGGATGATGGTTATCATCATCGAAGTTATCATGTACTAGGCCAGGTAGACTAGAGAAACAAATCCAGGGACACTCATATGCATGTGAGGAAGAGCTTCGTGTCAAGGAGTAATTGTACATCAAGAAAGCATCCCAGCCCAGTCCAACTCAAGTCCATAAAGTCTGAAACTAGTCCCTAAGTCCCTCTTCAGACTCACGCAGCCACATGCGCTGATGCAGAATGCAGGGAGATCACAGGCTGGGTGGTGCAGTCGCATGGATGCACGGTTGGTGGAAGCATTGCAGGGCTTCTACAGCTCTCTGGGTGTCCAGCAAGCAGGAAGGTGAAGGCAGGGAGAATGGGGTGGGGGGCGTTCCCTAGGCCCTCCTTATGAGAAGGCCACGTCATAGGGAGGCACCATCAGGCTGGGACCTGATTGACAGGTGGAATTCCACCCCTCCCCTTTCATCGAGCTTCAGATTGACATGAAACGGAGTCCCTGAGCAGTTCTGAGCCATCAGGTTCAGCTGCACCCAGTAAACTCCTTGGCCTAAAGCATCCTCCTTTGACCAAAAGACCTGGGGCTTTCCAACACTTAAAAAAAGTGGCTGACATCTTTGTTTGAAAAATTTTTTCAAATAGTTTCTTACAAAGTTAAGCATAGACTTACCAGGAACTCAACACAAAACAAAACAAACTCCTCACTGCCATTGAGGCAATCCCAGCTCATCGACCTGAGAGGGCAGAGTAGAGCTACCTGCCCCTGTGGGTTTCCAAGACTGTAAATCTTCATGGAAGCAGAAAGCCATGTACTGCTGACCTAGCATTTAGCAACCCAGTGAATAATCCACTGGGACTTTCTAGAATGGCCTTGTTGTTGTTAGGGGCCACCAAGGGGTTCCGGCCCATAGTGACCCTATGTACAACAGAAGGAAGCCCCGTACGGTGCATCTACCTCCCAGCTGTTGCTTTGTCTGAGCCTAGTGTCAATCCATCTCGTCTAGGGCCTTCCTTGCTGCCCGCTGCCCCTCCACTTTACCAAGCATGATGTCCTTCTCCAGGGACTGGTCTCTCCTGACCTGTGAGAGCAAGTCTCGCCATCCTTGCCTCTCAGGGGCATGCACGTCTTCCAAGACCAAGGACCCTGTGACCTTAAAAAATAGAAGAGGACTCATTTGACAAAAACGTGGACCTATTTCTAGCAACATTTCACATTTCTGGCCCCAGAGGGTAAACAACCCCAAACGCTCCCCTGACAAATGAGTGAGTAAAAGTGGAATCACGCCATCATGCACTGGCTCAGCACGCCAAGGAGTGAAGGAGCCCCACTCCCCACAGGGCGAGGCACCGTCAGCTCAGCCAGGGAAGCCCCGTGCAGAGGTCACACACTCCACAGCAGATAAAGCCGTAGAGACAGGAAGCAGATTCAGGGTGCGGGGAACTGTCGGGCAGGGGGAACAGGGGGCCTGCGTCAGGAATGGATAGGGGTCTCCTTTGAGGTGCTGACATCTCCCAGTACTGTAGGTGGATGCCGCAGAGCTGTGCATTTTAAAGCGGTGTGTTTTTATGCGAGTTTCTCCTCCATTTAAAAACCATCTAAGGCGGTACCCCGTGCGTAAAACACAAGAGTGATCTCTTCCCCAGAAGCCCCAGAGACACTGGGTGGAAACCCCAGGGCTCCCGGGATGAATACTACCATCACCATCCCCTCCTCCCAAAGATAGACTCCTGATGGTGAGTTTCAGGCACTCCTAAGGGCCCTGGTGGTGCTGTGGGTAAGTGTTGGGCTGCTACCTCCCAGGTCAGTGGTTCAGCCCCACCAGCTGTTCGGCGGGAGAAAGAGAAGGCCGTCTGCTCCTGTGAAGATTTACAGCCTTTGAGGCCCTGCGAAGCCTCGCTCTGAGTCGGAATTGACCCTATATGGCAGTGGGTCGGGCTGGGCTTGGATGCCAGGCTGGTGGTGGGGACATTAGGAGGCTCCTAGTCACCACACTGAACAGAGACCATCATCGTTATCTCAGTGCTACGAGCAGCTGCGTGTGCCTGAGTGCATAGGGAGACCTGCTCTCACATGCACGTGTGCATGCACACACACACACACACACACACACACACACACACACCCTTTCTCCCTGAACAGGCCTGCAACAATCTCATTGACCTGGACGCTGAGGAGCTCATCTCCGCAGCCTGCGTGGTGTACGCTGAGCTCATGCAACGTGAGGTAAGTAGCCCAGGGTATGTCTCCCTCCTCCAGGAAGCCTTCCCTGGTCTCCCCAAGCCCAGCCAAAGCCAGACATTCTCCACTTCAAAGACACAGAGGCTTTGTGGCCTGGTCTCCAACAGAGAGCATCTCTCCTCTTCCTGAGCAGGCTGCATCCTCAGAACGGGACCTCTGCCCCTTCCTCATCTCCCTACAGCGGAGCAGGGCACAGGGTGGGCACCCAGGGATGGGGGAGGAGGTCCCTGAAGAAGGAGAAGAGCAGACCAATGTCTGTGCTCCGCACACCTGCTGGAACCCTCTCCTCCCCCAGGTCCCTCAGCCACTAAAGGACTTCCTCCTCTGAGGGCCCCAGCATCCACAGCGGAAAGCCGCCCCCGGGAGCAGGATGACCATGGCTCTTTAGTCGCGAGGGCCAGATCAACCAAGCCTACAGGGCGCCGGGCTGCGGGAGTAGGTAATACAGCTGATGCAGAAACAGCCCTTGCGGTCAGGTGTGTGGCTGACTGTCTCCTTTGACTGTGGGGAGTGCTGGGGCCGAGGACAAGACTGCACAGGGAGAAGAGAGGCTTGATGGGTGAGCAGAGGGATTATGAGGGCTACAAGAGGGTGCGTGCCGGAAAGGGACTGGGTGGCCCACCACCGCCGGAGCAGAGAACCCCACAGGAACTGCTTCCCCCACACGAGTGACTCGTGGCTCTGGAGGGTCACGACAGCCATGTGCTCTGTCTGCTCTAGGGGGAGTCCCCCCCTTGTCTTTTCCAGCATCTGGGTGTTCTAGGCTTGTCGATGGATGCAGCATCCCCCTTCCCCCTCTTCCCCGGAGCGTGTGTGTGTGTGTGTGTGTGTGTGTGTGTGTGTGTGTGTGTGT